CCTTCCACTTATGACTGTATGACTGTAACTTTGTTGCTTGTATCCTTACGATTTATATTGATATTGTTTCCTGATTGCTTATTTGTACCCTAAGTGTTGTACCTTATCATTCTTGATGAACGTATCTTTTCTTTTATGTACACTGAGAGCATATGCACCAAGACAAATTCCTTGTGTGTCCAATCACACTTGGCCAATAAAAAATTATATTCTATTCTATTCTTGCCCTACTTCTCTGGGTTTCACTCAACCGCATGAGACCACCGCAACAGCACAGGTTCTCTCTTTCTCTGAAATGATACTCCCAATTAGTCAAGAAGGAAAAGATATCCAGTCTGAGCTTCTTGCTGCATTGCTGCCTGATCTGAATTGAACAAGATTTTCTCCCAGTTAGTAAGAAGCAGAAATGGTTATGAACCTGACATGATAATTTTACATCCAATATCTTCTAGTTCCTTGCTGTAACTAGAATGCATTCTTTCTTGAACTGGAAGGGGTGGAAGTGGCCACACTTGCATTCCAACACAAGAGGATTTAGCCACTATTCTCTTTTAAGTAATACTCTAATATTGCATATTTGATGCCAGTATCTAGTTTTGTACAGCTAGTCCTTGACTTACACAGTTCATTTATAGTGACCATTCAAAGTTACAATGGCACTGAATAAAGTGACTTATGACCATTTTTCACACTTACAACCTTCGTAGCATCTCCATGCTCACGTGATCAAAATTCAGATGCTTGGCAACTGGTTCATACTTATGACCACTGCTGTGTGCCAGGGTCACGTGATCACCTTTTGCAATCTTTTTCACAGGCAAAATCAATGGGGAAGCTAGATTCACTTAACAACTATTGCATGAAAGATCATAAAATGGGGCAAAGCTCACTTAACAAATGTCTCTCTCAAGAAGAGCAATTTTGGGCTCAATTGTGGACGTAAGTCGAGGACTATCTGTATAGCTAATCAGTCAGTCAGTCAGTCAATCAATGAAACAATCAATCAATCAATCAATCAATCAATCAAGCAAGCAAGCAAGCAAGCAAGCAAGCAAGCAAGCAAGCATGCTCTCCATTGTGCTTGTTTACCTTTTCCAAGGACCTGGGAAAATTCTTGGTATCCAGCTGCAGAAAGTTTCCAATCAATGGGAGAGGGAAAGGGCCAGGAGGCATCCTTCTCCTTTCAGAAGTCTTTCTCCGGATTGCCATGAAAAGAAGGCAGGTCCCAAAGAGCAGGAGAATACTGGTGAGTCCAAAAGGCTCCATCGCGCAAAGCATGAGTCAAAGTCTTAGAATTGACCGAAATCAGTTTCATCACCCAAGATGTAGAAAACCAGTGAGAGGAAGGAGGGGCTGCAGTTAGCCAAACACATTCAAGTAAAACAGATCCTGCTGCACGTACAGGTCTTAAATCTTTTGCCAGATCAGATTCTTCTGGAAGTTTCCTGTTTTTGTGAAGAAAGCTTTGAGCATGTAGAGTTTGACCCTACAGCTACAGGCAAATACCTGCAATACCTACAAAACTTACATTGTACTGTATTCGTAAAAATGAATGTAAGGTAAAGGTAAAGGTTCCACTCGCACATATGTACTAGTCGTTCCCAACTCTAGTGGGCAGTGCTCATCTCTGTTTCAAAGCCAAAGAGCCAGCACTGTCCAAAGACACCTCCATAGTCACATGGCCGGCATGACTAAACACCAAAGGTGCACGGAACGCTATTTCCTTCCCACCAAAGGTGGTCCCTATTTTTCTACTTGCATTTTTTACGTGCTTTCAAACTGCTAGGTTGGCAGAAGCTGGGACAAGTAACGGGAGCTCGCCCGTTACTTTGCAGGCACTGGTCTACCCATTTATATTTGCAGGCACTGATCTATGCATGTATTTTTGCAGGCACTGGTCTACCCATTTATTTTTGCAGGCACTGGTCTACTCATTTGTTTTCTTTTAACACTGATCAGCTGTAGGGCGGCCCTTTGAAGCCCCGTGGCAAGAGTTTAAACAGGTTTTTTTCCCTCTAGCCATCAGCTGGGACTCAGGAGGCAGCAATAGATTGGGGGTGAGGCCAAATAAAAGGTAAGAATAACACGGGGGTGGCGGGTGGCCAGAACCGGTTCGGTGACGTCATATCGTCACCGCTAGCGGCTCGGCAGAACCGGGAGGAACCCACCACTGGGTGCACTGGAAAAATACACAAGCTTTTTTTAAGTGTGAGCAGAACTTCCAAGGACTGTCATTTAAAAAAACCTGGACCAGCCAAGTCAATTTGCAACATGAACTAAAAGGAATATATTGAAAGCATGAAAGCACCAGCTTGGGGGATTCTTCACAGAATGACACTTTTCCTCTTCATAATGGATTTAGTAGATTTATATATCGTATTTTTCGGAATATAAAACTCACTTTTTTCCCTCCTAAAAGAGGCTGAAAATTTGGGTGCATCTTATACTCTGAATGTAGCTTTTTCAAAGCTTTTTTTCAGCCCTAAGGTGCTAGATCTACCTCTGAATCTCAGCTGTGCTTTAGAAGCTTTTTTTCAGTAAAGCGATCTCCCCCCTCCCCTCCCTCTGACTCTCAGCTGTGAAGCTTTTTTTCAGCCCTAATGAGGCGCTAGTGCGTAACGCGATCTGTGGTTTGCCTGCTTTTCTCATTGCTTCTCTCTCCAAAGATCAGTTGTGCTTTAGAAGCTGTTTTTTATCCCCAAGCAGCAGATAAAAACCAGCAAACTAATGTGATGAAGCTGACCAAAGGATGCTAGCCAGATGAATACCTGGTAGGCAGATTTCCCCCCCCACACATTTCCCTCCCCAAAAACTAAGCTGCATCTTATACGCCAAAGATACGGTATGTGATCCTCATTTAGTTATCACAATTGGAACTGGCAACTCAGTTGTTCACTGAAGCAATCTCTAGCAGTGAAAGTATGACTAGAGGTAGTCCTTGACTTATGACCACAATTGAGTTTGGAATTTTTGGCTGTCATTGTGGTTGTTAAGCGAGACACCCAACAGCCTTATTTAACTATTACAACCCAAGCCTTCTCTGTTGCAGTTTTTAAGCGACTGTGCAGAGATGCCTCAGGGAATGGGGGGAGATGGTAAGAAGCCTGGTGCCCACCTGCATACCAAAACCTGCAGTCCTTTGGGAGGCGGCGGGTGGCCAGGCCCACTGATCCTCTCCCTGCCCCACCATGCCTAAATTCATTTACCTTTCCATCATCTTGCTCCATCCTATACGCTGGTTCCAATCTCGTAATGGCTTGAAAGGCTCTTTTTCCAAATTACATGGTAACAATGGTGCTTGCTAATGTTTTTTCCTCTGGAGAGAAAAACACTAGCGAGGTCAGTGTTCTGAAAGGCTCTGAGCTTCCGTGTTTCAGAAGGCAAAGGCTTAGACCCCTTAGCATCTTCTCCTCTAGAACCCACCTCTTTTGCTAGTGTCCACCTCCTCTTTGGCTTTGCCAACATTGTTGCCAGATATGAGGTCTGTTCGTCCAGTGTACAGGATTGCCCCTCCCTACATGGAGCAGAGGGGAAAATCTCCCAGCATATTGGGAGAACAAACCTCAAATCTTTTTGTCCAGTTTGCAACATTTCCTGCCAGCTTCTCCTGAAGCTGGCAGAGAAGTTTGCAAATGATGATCACATGATCGGAGGGCCCTTGCCGATCCACTGTAAATATGAACAGGTTGCCAAGCGCCCAAAATGCAGTCATGTCTGGAAGGAGATCCGCCATTGCTTTATAACGCCTGTAAGTATTTTACAAGCTGCAAAGCAACTGTTCTGTGGCTACTTTGACTATGAATGGTTACCAAATGACTGGCTGTCAGTTGCTTATGAGCTTATTTCAGCTTTCCTTTGCTTTACAAACCGGCCAAGATTGTAAATGCAAGAATTAATCATAAAGTTATTTTTTTTCACCGCTGTCATAACTGCAAATGGTTGCTAAATGAGGCAGCCACTAAACAGACGACATGTATCCCACATCTTAGAAACATGCATCAACTGTAAAGCTGGTATACCAATGGAAAAGAAAAAGAAGAAAAACAGATAGAAAAAAATTATTCTGGTTTGCTCAAGTCTGCTGGGACATACTTTTTTTTCTGGTAAAGAATTTTCCCTTTCCTTCACAATTGCTCTGGAAATTACTCTGCCTCAGACTCCTGTGGTTTGAGCTTTAAGCCTCAGGCATCACAAACTCTTTTACTGCAGAAATGTAGCTCACTCTGAAAAACCAGTTTTTCATTTGCAAGTTATGACACTCAGATTAGTTTAATAGGCATGTTGAGTACTGGCTTCAAGACCTTCATAACAGAAAACAAGAGCATGATATCCTTACAGGATTCCTAGATTTTACAACTAATCTTAGGCTGCCAGATTCATCCTGCAAACTATCAGAAATATTTTCATCCTGCTGCACAAAGGTCCTCAGACTGCACAGTGCTATCTCTGGCTGATCAAGATAGTTGAGACAACCCCGATTAGGAGCTAGCCATCACTTCCTCTCTCCACATGTTTTTACAGGGAAGAGGAACAATACCCATTACTCAATTTAAAATATATGGTGAAATGGTGCTGGGTTGTCACGTCTTGGCTTCAAAGCAGGATGGGGATGGGAAATATTGCTTAATTTTTAAAAAAAACCCTGGCACGTAATGGTTTGATTAGAATGGGATTCAGAATAGTATATGTGACTGCTTGTCCTTTTCCCCTTATAAGATTTTTGTGCACCAACATCAAGTGGGTGTTTATCGCTGTGATTCCAGTGGCAAATATTGCAAAGAACTGAAAGTTTCCCTTTGCATCCACATTGAAGTATTTCTATGCAAAATACTGCATAATATTTTTGGATGAAACACTGAGTTGCTGCTAAACCGGCTGCTACTGTCAGAACCTTCATACTATCCTGACAGAAAATTGCCAAGGATAAACATTTGTCCACAAAATTAATCCAGGAGTGACAGAGTGGAACATAATAATTCATTTGAATACTGAAAAGATGCAACATTGTAGAGAATTTATTCCTTTGGTATGACAACATCAACAATGAGCAGTTTTCTGATTTGTGGGATCTGCCCATCCCCTGCTATCACATCCTTTGTGCTGCAGGTATATACATGAGATTGGATACGAGGCTTTTATAACATTGCCAAATTATTAGACTATTATTACAACAAACTGTACAGCTGTTTTTTTTTTCCCTGCTGAAAATAAAGAACAGAAAGTAATTCTATTTTATTCTACACTTATCAGACCCCGCTTTGAATACTGTGTCTAGGTTTAGGCACCACACTGTAACAATTCAAATAAACTGGAAAAGATGTGAAGAAGGGCAACAAGAATGACTGGGGACTCAAAACTATGAGGAAGGATTGATGGAATTAAATAGTCTTGGGAAAAGGCAAAGAAAGGAGAAATATGGCAACGTTCTTCAAGTTCCTGGAAGGATGTTGTATATTATATCCCAGTGAGTTGTAGCTGACTCTATGGATAGACGTTCTCCAAACTGTCCTGTTTTTTGTTGCATTATACAATTATTAGAGGTGCAATCCTGTAATTTCCTGTTCTGTACTCCATCTGGTCACCTAATGTTCTGACCTCTTGTTTTCCTTACATCTTGCCCAATACAGGTAATCCTCGATTTACAACAGTTCATTTAGTCACCATTCAAAGTTACAATGGCATGGAAAAGTTTTTTCCAGTTACCACCTTTGTAGCATCCTCGTGCTCATATATGATCAAAATTCAAGATGCTTGGCAACTGGTTCATATTTATGACCATTGCTGTCTCAACGTCATGTGATCACTTTTTACAACCTTCTAATAAACAAAGTCAACGGGGAAGCCAGATTCACTTAACAGCGGGTTAGATTCGCTTAACAACTGTGGCAAGAATGATCATAAAATGGCATCAGGGTTCCCACGGATGCCCTAATTAAATCATGAGCCTCAAGCCAAGCTTCAAAAGAAATCCAGTTATTTATTAGGAGATTCATGTCAGTACTTCCAAGTGAAGCCAACTCTGACCCCATGTAATTTATGGCCCAATCTTGACCCTGTTTCCCCCTCCCCCCAGGGTGTGTCATCAGTCACATTCGGAGCAATTTCATGGGTTGTAGAGATCACTCTCCTCTGGCTGCTGTGGATAACCCTCGGAGACAGCTTTGAGAGAGGTATGTCTGGAATGTGCTTTTGTTTTTGGCTGCCGTGCTGCTTCGCTGGTTTCCCATCTCCCTTGCCTATGGCAACTCAAGAGCAGGCCAGGGATGCTTAATAAATTAAACTCACTTAATAAATGTCTCACTTAACAACTGAAATTTTGGGCTCAATTGTGGTCGTAAATCGAGGATTACCTGTTTTATCTTTTCCAGAGGCATCACTATGTGCCCAAAGTGCAAAGGGTTTTGTTTCAGCCTCCTCGTTTCCAATGGACATTCAAATTGATTTTCTATAGTCATGAATGCCTGGGCCTCTTGGCTGTCTAAAGAATACGAATATAGGTAGTCCTCGACTTATGACCACAATTGAGTCCAAAAATTCTGTTGCTAAGTGAGACAGTTGTGAGGTGAATTTTGCCCCATTTTATGACCTTTCTTGCCACAGTTGTTAAGTGGATCACTCGTTGTGTTAAGTTAGTAACATGAATCCGGCTTCTCAACTGATTCTGCTTATCAGGTCGTATTTATGACATGCAACCGTCAAAAATGTATCAGTTGCCAAATATCTAAATTTGGATCATGTGACCATGGGGATACTGCAATTGTCGTTAAGTGTGAAAAATGGTCATATGCCACATTTTTCAGTGCTGTTGTAACTTCAAACGGTCACTAAATGAACTGTTATAAGTTGAGGAATACCTGTATGCTTCTTTCAGCACTATTGTCCACGTCTTGTAGCCGTATATGAAACAGAGAAGACCAGTGAGTAGACCATTTTAACTTCTATCTTAATTGAAATGTGACCGTATCGCCCCCAATGCCTATAGGTCCATTTTGCCTGAATGTTAGCAAAATGCTCTAACAGTAGGAACAGTCCAACAATGAAACCAATTAATTAGAAAGAAGGGTTCCTTCACTGGATGCTACAAGGCCACATCACCATTTATTGGAGAAACTTTAATTTGGATTCCTAGGCTGAATAGGGTGTCCAAGGAAATTATTGAAAAAATAAAAATAAGAAAGATGTAAGTTAATTAAAAGGCTGGTATGTCACATTTGAGAAATTCCAAATAAGCCATAAGAAACAGACTCCATATGACACTATTACTGAAATATAGTATATGATCTTATAATTTCCTCATAAATCATAATCACTTCCTCAAAAGTAACAGACTTTTTGAAAATTTTAACTGAGCTCATATAGATGACTTTATTCCTAGCTGATAACGCTAGCCAAAAGTTGACAGGAAAATATTTTATCTGCTTTTCACGTATTAAAAAAAACCACATTCTCATAAAAAACATTCATTTGACCCCACCATTAAAATATTTTAACCATTCTCCAAGGCTGTTCATTAAGACAGTAGTTTGCTTGACATTAGGATTCACAATCTCTCTCTCTCAACAGATATAGTTATTTAAAAGCCCAATCACCTTACATCTAAACTTAGGCTGAACAGAAAGTTTGAATCAGCAGTGATTGCTTATCTGCATTGCACATCTGACTTCCCTTATTTTCCTAAAACACAGTTAACATGTACCCTGCTTGTGCATGTTTTTCCCTTTGCACAATCAGCTTGCAACCAGCACTAGCTTTTCACCACCTCCTCTATTTATATAGCAGGGGGTTGAGGCTTCCACTGCTTTCAAAGATTGTATTCTTCTCTTTTAGTGCATGACCTGGATAGCAGTCATTTACTGCCAGAGCACAAGAACTTGGGGTACTGTGTGATGCACACTGCATATCTACCTTCAATATCAAAGGATTTAAACTACTTCCCCAATCTAGGAGGATTCATAGCTCTTAAACTCACTGGCTGGAACAGAGGTGTCAGCTGCAAAAGAAAATCTTTTGCGAGCGCCTCTTCTGAAGGCCTTCTGGAAGCCACAGGCCAATAAGTGCAGACAAAATGAGGCCCAAACTGTAGACCAGCAAGATTTCATAAATAAATAATCTTCAGTGCTTCAAGCACTGGTTCCCGTCAGATTAAAGGCATTCCTTCATGACCTAGCCAGCAGGAAAAGTGAACTCCAAGCCCTACAAAATTCCTGTGGCTTGACAGGAAGCTTCAAAGGAAATCTGTTCTTCAAGAGAGCTTTCCCACTTCCATTCAGATACTCAATCCGATTGGGCAAAATCAAAGGGCTCAAAGGCTTGACGGAAATCTTGGACTGCAGCGATTTCTTCGTCCCGTCCTGTTTGGCAGCTTCTCCAGTCTGATCGCTCAGGCATGCCAAGGATGGCCTCACTGGCCAGCACCTCCCTGTGGAAAACAGCAGAATGCAAACTAGTGTTACTCTATCATCGTGCTCCAAGTTCCCAATACTGAAGACTATGAAGCCATATATTCCAAAGGCCACTTGATGGATCTCCACTTGAGGATCATGCAGAGGGATAAATAAAACCTAACAAGAAGGAACAGATGCCAAAGGGAAAAAAATGGTGATGCAATCCCAACTGAGAACAAAGACAGGGATTAGTAACTATGAAGCTATAGCTTGTCTTTACAACACTCTTTCATTCCATTTGATGGGCAAAGTCCAGAACAAAAGGCTTCTGAATGGTCTATGTAATAGTTGGTCTTGGTTATTCTGTAATCTTTTTGTTATTCTTTTTTCTGTTTCTGGATGTTTATTGTGCTTTGCTTTTATTTCCTATGTTTTTTATGTTTCTATCCAAATGTAAGCTGCCCAGAGTCAATCAGTGACTTGGGTAGCCATTTAAATCACACACACACATACACACACAGAGAGATTAAATAAGTAGAATAAACTAACCTTCCAAACTGCAAGGGAAAGTTTTTGCTAATACGATGGAAGAGTTTCTCTCCATTATCAAGCTCAACATAAAAATACGGTGTCCCTGGCTGAATTATCTGAAAGACAAGAAACATTTCCATGTAGCAATATTTTGTCCATTCCCTTCCAAAGAAGAGTCTGTTTGGATAAAAACAAAAACAAAAACAAATAAGCACACATGATCTCTGAAGCATGTTTACCAGGCTGCCAGGAAAATGAAAGCAAGTGCCAAAGTTTTGGTGCAGCTGGATTTTTGCTCAGTAAGCAATTTTTCATTCACATCATTCAGGTTGTGACAAAACTGAATTAAGGCTGTAATCCTTTTTGTGAACTCATTGGGTTTTTTAAGCAGGCAACTTTTGACAAGTTACAACAAATACGTGCTAAAGTATTTAGGGACCAAAATGATGCTGGTAATTTTTTATTTGTTATTCTGGATACATTTAGATGTAATATGCTGGCAGAGATGCTCTTTGTGAGAGAAGAAGGTTTGTTAAATTACAGAAGGACATGTGCCAGGGATGTTGTAATTTAACTGCAAGAATTAGCAGCCAGTGGCAATAGCTGTGGCTGAACATTTGGAACTGAGGACCCTGCTGCTAGAAAGTGATCAGACTGAGGAAGCCTGATACGGGAAACACTCATTGATAGTATGTAACATGTAATAAAAATACACACTGGAACTGCTGACTCAGTATCCTGCCATCTGCTTAGAAATAAAGGAAATGGGCACATAAAAAAACATGCTAGGCTGAGATCCAACTCCTGCATTCCCAGAATCCCTTGCAACAATCTTCTGGTAAAGGAAGCAATGCTTGACTCTTACTTGTTTGAGAGCTGAATGTTCTGGTATCTCTAACAACTCAATGTGACGTTCCTCTGCTTGACTTATGAAGGCTTCCTTAATATCTTCAGTAACACAACAGGCCTGGGGTACAGGAACAACCTAGAAGAATAATATTTTCACAGCATTTAGGAATGAAAAAAGGAAGTTAAAAAAGCAATATTCAAGGCAACTTAAGGGCTCCATCATTGGGACCAAAGAGGGCCCTCAGCAAAGGTTATCATCATGACGAAAGGCAAATGCCTCTCTTGCAGTCTTAAACTTATGAATGTGAAAGAGAAAATCGGCTGTGGGAGATGAAGTACTGAGGACTTGCTTTTCTTCTGGAGCCCTCAGTTTTCTTGCCTCACTTATACTCTCTGTGGTAGCCAGACGCTGTTCAGATACTGTTTCTGGTCAGCCAAATAGAAACTACCACAATATATCATTAGAAAAACATGGTGGTATAAGCAGAACACTATCTATGAAGAGAATGCACAGCTAAGGTTTATCCTGAAGAAAGGAAGGATATTCCATGATTCTTAGTGCTGTTAAAACCATCAAATCATACCCCAAGTATTCAGAAATTTTCATTAAAATTAAATTAAAAACATCCTGCAAAGACAGAAGTGCCTCACCTGGAGCTGGAGGTGTTGACTTCTATAATTTCTTTCATAAATCACACACCTTTTTCCTTTGGCTTTGAAGAATTTTTTCAGCACAGACTTGTACTGTTCAAATTCTTCCACTGCTTCTGAAGCAAGTTCGACCATTGACTGATAGTGTCCAATGGGCAAAATAAGGACATGATCAGGTGACAAGCCCCCTTTGGCAAGGGCAAGATAGCACTAGAAAAAGAACCCAAAAAACAGTGGTGAGAATCATTAGCTCTCCGTAGCCAATCCCTTCATGCTATTAATGTTAAACCGATAGGAACAGTACTGACATTCTGAAATGTTATATTGTCCTAATCTTTCCACTCACAAAGAAACAAAATTTACAGTCAGAGAAAACTATTAAAAAAATCATTATTAGAAATTTTTATGCCACTTTATTGACAAAAGAACCAGAGAGAAAATGGATTATCAATAAATGCAATGAAGATTGTGCAGGATGCTGCCAAATGATAACCAAAGAATTATGGAAAAAGAGAGATTGTCAACATCTGTTTAACAGTGAGAGAAACATGTACTATGCATAACTTTTAGGAATGAAAACAAGTACTCTGCTTCACATCAGTCTGATTAATGAACACTATTCGAAAGAGCTGCCACTGATATCCTATCTACATCACCAACCAAGTCCAAATCTACTGTATATTTTGAGTATCTTATATTATATATAATTCATCTTTAAAACAGACACTGGAAAATAGATACTTACATGAGTGCCAATGGTCACCACTAAATGCTTCTCAACATCTGGGCTGGCAAGGCAAAACCAGCAGGCAGCTGTTGGCAATGCTTTAAAATCAGAGAGGAGATAGGTATCAGAAACTCAGCAGTGACTTAAAACAGATCACCAATGACTTCTGCTATATCTTTAACAGGAGATCTTTAGAGGTCCTTGAAGGTTAAGATGGGTCAAACGGGTCTCTTTCTCTCCTTTCTCTATTCTGTCACCATTAAGGAAAATGCTTTAATGCATGTTGTGCTAGATCAGTGGTTCCCAACGTGGGGCCCACGCCCCACAAGGGGGCAATTTGATTTTTAATGGGGGCAATTTGAACTTTGTTTAAACTAAATTAATGACCTTTTAGGCTTCCTCAGCGTGAGTAGAGTTCATTTTTTGAGTAAAGTAAGAATTATATGTCACGGCGGGAGGGGGGGCATCAGGATTTTAGAGATGCTTAGGTGGGGCATGGCCAAAAAAAGGTTGGGAACCACTGTGCTAGATAGTATCTCTCAACGTACAGCCAAGAGTTTGTCTTAATTTGTTCGGATCAATGATAAGACCAATAAAATCGAAGTCTTTTATTAATACAGTGAGCGAGTCCTCTTGGACTTTCCCAAGCACCTTAGTTGTGCGAATGTATTAAATCTGCTGGTCGCCCTGAAGAGTTTCAAAACAAATACCAAAATATTCTACTCTTAGAAGAAAACAAACATGACCCCTCCACTAATTTATAAAAATGAAAGCTAGGTAGCCAACGTCAATTTGTAGCCCTGTGCTTTTTCTTGCTCAATATTTTAAAGATAAATGAGTCTGGTACTCACGGGGTTTGAAAGGTGACCGCTTAGGTGGACGTCTCTCTTCTCCTTTCATAGGTCGTTTCTTTCCTTTAGGCTTGTTGCTTAAATCGAAAAAAAATTGGCTAGCAGGCTCCTCCTTTAGAAGCAAGAGAAAATTATCTGTTAGGGCAGAGGGCAAGACTAGAAAAGATTTGTTTTCATGTGTATTTCAGCTTGATATGTTACACATCTGGAATAAAGCTCTTTTTGAAAAGCAGCTGGAACATGGAGTCCCTAATACAAAATAAACTTATGTGTATGTGCATGCGCATACACACACATGTATGAGTATGAAATAAAAGAACGAACGAATGTAGCTTTTTTATTTCTAAGGCAGTGGTTCTCAACCTGTGGGTCGTGACCCCTTTGGGGGTCGAACAACCCTTTCACAGGGGTCGCCTGAGACCATCGGAAAACATATATTTTCAACGGCTTTAGGAATAATTTTATGGTTGGGGGTCACCACAACATGAGGAACTGTATTAAAGGGTCGCAGCATTAGGAAGGTTGAGAACCACTGTTCTAAGGAATGTTATAAACCCAGAATTTTTAAGGAAATTTGGAAAATTGCCTAGGATCAACTAACTAACCAAAAAAGGAAGGAAAATCAGTGCTATGTAGAAGAAATGGGGAAGTGTGTCTGGTTTGTGCTGATAGATCTACAGCCATAGATCTACTCCAAATGTCACATAGTCCTAAAAATGCCCAGCAGAAGAGGCCTGACTCATTAAAAAAAGTTGTACACTTCTATGAGGATACCAGAACTGGAACCCATTCATCAGAGGCAGTGGCAGTGTTTAGCTATCCCAGACCATCCAAAACTATGTTACAAGTTCAGCAAGTCTAAGAGATTGGAAAATATGAATGCTGAATCCCTCTACCTTTGCATCTGGTAACTGATATACAAAACTTCCTCCATCCCCAGGTTTTCGGTATGGGTTCTCGGTGGTATCTTGTGGCTGCTTGATGAGTTCTGCAGGATCCATTGAATTCATTGGAAGAATGCTGAACGCATAGAGATACTGAGAGAAAGAAATCACAAAAAAGGAATAGAGCCACAGCAGAAAACCTGCAGGGTACTGTTTAAGCACTTTCTAAGAATAGAGGATCGAAGTATGCATTTTCCATCCAAAATGAAAATTGTATGTCATAACAAAGTTACAAGTAGACACACATACATGAATGTCAAAAGGGAAGGACACCCCAGATTGTACCAACTGATATAGCAACACTTATTCGCAAACTGCCAAAAGGCATATATGGTCAATTTGGTTTTGGCTTAGCACGTGTCATGAATCAAACCACTGCAATTGGCAAGCCACATCACAGCATAAGGAGAGAAGTAGCAAAGGCAACTGATAGATCACAAGGGAAATTAGGAAAGACTGTAGGGGACCCGCAAGAGAGGCCTAAAGGGAGGCTGCCTATGCCAAGGGAGTTGGAATTGGTAGGCCATGCCAAGCATATAACTTTTTGTGAGACTGGCTATCATCCCAATATGCTCAGAAGCACTAGTATATTGGGTACTCCTGCATAAACTGGTGGGCTTTGTGATTTGTGAGACAAAATACAGGAAGGCCAATAAAGTAGTTTAAAAAAAGGAAATTAACAATTATAGAGGGATCTCGTCCTTCAATGCAAAACACCAAATGCAAAGCAACTTTTGGGCTTCCTTTAATGGAAGCACTATTATAGTCAAATTTCTTGGCCAAAATTAAACTATGCTGCTTAGGACAAGAAATATAATCAGCTTGGATACAACCTGGTTATTTCTATGTTCAGTTCAGGTATGAAAAGGCAAAAAAGTCTCTGTTCACCTTTCTTTTATCAGTGTTGCCAACATCGGCCAGGGCGATGAATCTGCTGACATGTTGTGCAGTTTCCTGAAGAACAGCATGGTTTCTATAGAAAGAATTTTGCACAGATTTTAGAAAGAATCCCCTGATCTGGAAGATATTCAATTGTCTTGATGAAAAGAGATGCAACAACTCTAAAAAAAAACAAAAAACTGTTTGCTTTTGGAAACTTTAGTCTGTATAACATGTTTATATGCAACATGAATTCCACATAAAATTGTCCGTGTAGTTTAATTAATTCCATAAAAAGTTGTTTATGAAATTACTTCTCTCTTAAGAATGGAGGGCAGGACTATAAAAAGTTACTATTTAATGACTATGCATTATCTCCAATATCAGAGGCAGCATGCTTTCACATGGCAAATTCTTGGGTTATGACTGGAAAGTGTTGTCATGTCCTGATCTTGCTTGTGGGTTTTCTACAAGTAATTACAGGTACACTTCAACTTACAACCATTCATTTAGTGACCATGTGAAGTGACCATGACACTGAAAAAGTGACTTATGACAGGTCCTTGCATTTACAACTGTCTCAGCATTCCCAGTCATGTGATCAACATTCAGCCACTTGGCAAATGGCATGCATTTATGACAGTTGTAACAACTTGGGGTCTTGTGAGTACCTTTGCAAACTTGCCAGCTGGATTCCGACAAGCAAAGCCAATGGGGGAAGCCAGATTAATTAATTGACTGCAAAATTCACTTAACAATTTGCAGTAATTTGCTTAAAAATTGTGACTAACTCAGTCATAAAATCAAGTGCACTTAACACTTAACAACTACCTTGCTTAGCAAGGGAAATTCTGGTCCCAATTGCGATTGTAAGTCAAGGACTACTTGTAGTCACTGTGAGAACAGAACTACAAGTAGTGGGCTTTGTTTTGATCTAGTTTATCTCTTTTCGTGGCCTTATATTTATGCAACTTACTTCATTAAGTACTGAGACAATTTTGCTGCAGTTTTAGAAATGGGTTTATAGTGTATAGCAGTTATTAGCCAAGGATTCACATACCTATAAGGAAGTCTTTCATAATTGATTTTTTGAAGACCAGCAAAATGGTATCTGGGCTTTAAATTTGCAGCCAGTATAGATACTAACCCTGAACCACATTTCAAAGAGTTCACATCTCCCTGTAAAAAACAACAGTCACACACACACACAAATATTTAATGTTACTAATGTTTACAGTGGATTTATATATAGAAAATATATCAACAATGCTTCTATGGTCTAAATCGAATAACAATGATTTATTAAACTGGTTTGCTGCCTGACTCTGGGTGGCTCACAACAATCAAAGAAATTACATTCAGATCAATAATACTTAAAAGATAAAGCCAGTTTGATGTAGTGATTAAGATGCTATCCTAGAAATCAGGAGGCTATAAGTTCCACGTTCCCTTAGGCAAGAAAGCCTGTTGGATGACTTTTGGTCAGTTACTCTCTCTTACTCCAACCCAGTTCACAGGCTTGTTGTGAGGAAAAGAGGAGGCAAGAGAATTCCATATGCTGGTTGCCTTTTTTATTTTTACACACACCAACTCAATGAAGGGGAGGAAGGATGGAATAAAAATCTAATAATAAAAATGCAAATACAATATATTGAGGGATCTCACTCTTCCTTGCCAAAGCCTGGGTGAAAAGCCAGGTCTTCCCAGTTCTTCTAAACAACATCAGAGCTGGTACTGGACTTATCAAGAAGGAAAACCTCTCTTAAAAAATTCCTGTGAGAACATTAATAGTTTTCCTATATTCTTGTGTCCAATTTGTATTTAGTATTCTTTTATTTAACCATAGGTTATTATTATTAATAAATTTTATTGTGTCATTCTTTATAGTCAGCTTTTTCTACTAGGTTCAAGTTAAAAATCAGAGTTATACTCACTGCCAATCTGGTACATTCCACCTGCAGATTATGAGTCTTTGTGGAAGACATAAATCCTATCATACAATTCCTTTTCATTTCCAATGTACTACTTACTGGGCTGTTGCCAAAGATCTCTACCCCCTTGGGCCAACAAGAGGTGAGCAAGATGTCCACACCTTTGAATTTTGAGGTGGATTGCAAGGAAGTCTTGAGATCAATCACATCCTTAGTACTAAAACAATGTGCAGGAGCTGGATCTTCTGTGGATTCAACTCCACTGAGATAAGCAATCTGAAGTCCTGAAGCTCCACTGAAGACACCTTTGCGCCCTATGCATATAATGGAACATGATTCAGCCAGAGAATTTGTAGGAAACACGCTTTTAACATACTGTACACTCAAATATAAGGAATACCTAATCCCAAACTATGTATTTTAATTGATAAAGTAGTATCTCTGTTTTGTGCTGAAAGATACGAACTGCCCCTTGCCCAGTCTTTGATTAGAAGACACATGTGAATGTGTCAGGGATTCACACAATTTTCAACTCTCTTGTGTTCTGGTTTAGCATAATATGTAAATTCAGTGACAGTCTGGCATACATAAAAAGTCAAAACAGAGAAAAGATTGAAGAAGTATCACATTTTTTCTTCTTAAGAATGAATTGGAGTTGCAAGATTAGATGAACCTAAGTCTTACTTTCATCTCCATACTGAACTGAAAAAAGGGGAGCTAATCAAACATTACACCTCTGTTTTATGAGCTGCATTGGATACCAATTTCCACATTGAATTAAAGGTACTGGTTTTGACCTTTAAAGCCCTACATGACATGGAGCTGAAGCAGTTGAAGCGCTATCTCTCTCAGATTACATCTGTCTGTTCCACCACATCCAGCAGAAAGGGCCTGTTGTGGGTCCCATTTCATGTGGGCCTTTTTTGCTGTGGATCCCACTTTATAGAATGTCTCCTCCCCTGAAGTAATGCTGGCCTCTTTCCTTTTAGCTTTCTGGAGGTACCTCCAGACCTGGCTGTTGTCAGCAGGCTTGGGGAACCTGACGGACTGGCAAATATTGAGATGGATCTTAGGTAATTAACAGCTCCTCTTTGCCTAATCTTTTTATTTTATTTGTGCCTTTTATAATTTTAAACTTTTTTTAGTATTAACAATATTAATATTAATTTGTATATTTTGTTTTTCACTGACAAGTGTAAAATATGAATGAATAAATAAAAAACAAAACAAAATGTATTTTCTTTCCTGCAGTTGCCAAGGCATGGACAGATGCCAGCAGTTTTCCAAACTACAAATAAAAGTTAGACAGAACTACAATGAACAGATATATCATATATTCCCCCCGTTTGGGGGGAATAGGGAAACAATTGTGGATACTTCAGATAATTCACATTCTGATGTTTAAAAAAGGACATTATTTAAACAAAGAGGAAGTTAGTCAAAGATAGTCAGAATCTCAGCAGCAATCAGCTCTTTCTTGCCTCCTTGGGGCTTTAGAAGCCCTTTGATCTCGGGAATCATATGAGCTCAGCTATGCCTAGCAAATGCCTACCACATCACAAGAAGCTTATATGAGAATCTTGGAGAAGGCAGAAATTCCAACTTCAGTTATTTATACCCCCAAAATTAACTCATAAAAATAAAACTTCCAGGTTACCTAGATAAGTGATGTTCTCAGCTAGTTCACATCCGCTGACATCAGGAAAACAACGCACTGTTTCATCATTATTGGCACCCAACACGTATGTCTGTATAGGGGCTAAAGAACCCCCCTCCCCAAGAGTACAATTAAAGAAAACAACAACAGAAATGCATTCTACTTAGTATGAGCAAAATGATTTAAGTCAAAGTTTTATTTTGTGACATTTATTTTAAATTTAAGAAATTCTTTGCTATTCCAGTATGTTCTGAGGAAGAATCTGTGCTTCATGCAAATGATAGTGAGGATTTTCCCTGTTATCTGCTACTTAAAAGCATCCTCTTTGTATTTTTGAACAGTAATACAACAGAAATATATAACTACTGTATTGTACTGTTCAGTACAAACTTATATGACTTCTAACTTAAAAGGGTTTGCGCTATTTTTCCTGGAGCACAGAAATCAACTGATGTTTCATTTCTAGCAGGTGCAGCAATCTGCTGTTTTATTTCTCTGTGTATCTGACAGTCACAATTTTGTCTGAATTAATTTGAAACATTTATACTTTTGAGGTCATAGATGTTCTATGAGCTTCTGAATAAGTAGAATAACAACAAAAATTGTAGTTATACATGTAGAATGTTATGTGATACATGTTACAGTAGAGTAATAAGATGTTTATTTTGATCTGGAAATCAGCAGTATACCCATTTAATTTGTGATCAAAGTATCAGTGGGTGTAGGGAATAGAAGAGAAATATTTTGGTTCAAAAAAGTGGGACAAAGTACCTTATAGAAATGTTAAGAGAATTTATCTGAACTGGCTTTGGTATGTATACAAATATCAATATTTCTCTTTGTCAAACTCCCTATGGGAAGAATTTTCATTTGTTATAGAACAGTCAGCAAGCCAATTTCCTCAAGTGGTACAGCCCAGACATAGTAAGTAAAAATGAGGTCTAAGCTGCAGTGTCATATTTGTGAAAAAGATTCTATAACACGATTGTCAGTTGCAAAGGCCAACAGGTCCTGCTGAACAGTAACTTTGCTTACCTTTTTTTGCTCCTGTTTGATAATCTTTCCATTCTGAATCTTGAGCAGAGCCAAAGAAGTTTCCCACACACACAAGGAACTGTAAGAACATTTCATACAATTTTTATAACACTGATTGGAATAACCAAAGGAGATGCATCAAGGTGAAAATACCTCATCTTTAAAATGCTTCCCAAGCTATAAACTTGCCTGTTCAATCTGGGATACCACAATGGCAAGAAGAAGAAGGGCATATAAGTATAGTAGGTACTTATCAGTACTATACAGTTGAATTTTTAAAAAGTAAAGAGCTACGGTGCATATTACTTATTTCAATATTTTTCCCTTTAGGAAAAATATAAAAATTTCACCTTAGCAATTTCAGCTAAAGAGGCACAATAAGCTAATTTTAAGCTTAAGAGTTCAGCTAAGGTAATGTCTTAAAAAATCTATATGGACGACAAATTTTTGGGATGAAATAATTAAAAAGTATAAAAATGAACACAATATTGAGGTGACATGAAATATTCCTTCAAAGAAGAAACAAAGGTGATGAATTCAACAAGGTAGTCCCAAAGGTGCTTTTTCATGAGGCAACTGGACTTCCTGATTTTTCTTTTGAAAATGTTTCACTTCTCATCCAGGAAGCTTCTTCAGTGAGAAGCTTCTTGGATAAGAAGCAAAACGATTTCAAAAGAAAAACCAGAAACTCCAGTTGTCTCTTGAAAAAGCACCTTTGGGACATCCATGACCTGGATGACTGAGAATCTCCATAGACATTTAGCTCAACAAGGGTAGCTTTAATATACTTTTGTGTAGTTTCTCCATAATGCATTCTGCTCATTTTTTAAAAAAGTGGTGCATTATTTTCATTGTTTTATCATAATGATGCTTTAAATCAGTTGTAATTCACCTAGAGAATTTGGGCTAGCGAGTGGATTAAAAAGTTTAACCTGTTGAAATGATACAAATAGCCCTGTGCAGTATCATAAAATTATCAATATGATATATTGTAGCACGTAGTTTTGATTAGCTACATTGAAATGTCAAGTTTGGAACTGTATCTTGCCATATAATTCCATTAGTGTTCCATCTCCTCTATGCAGCTTCTCAGATTTTTTAGAAGGTGAAATAAACAAAATGGTGATTGTTTGGAAAAAGAAGAGAACCCAGTGCTGACATAAACAATGAACTGATTCCTTATTTGGCAGATACTGAGACAGACTGGAAGGACTATATAAGATAGGAGTATTTTCATTCTGAAGCTTCAGTGCTTTAGGACGTTATTCTATGTAGACAAACTTACATCAAATGCTCCACTTTTCTTCTGAACAGCTTGAACTCTGGAATATAAAGCTCCAAATTTTCCTTCTACATCTCCACAGGCCAACCTAGAGAGAGAAACGAGCATGTCTCAAGCAGAGAAAAAGCCCCTGAATCAACAAACTATGGCAGAACACCCTGGGGATAAAATAATCTACAAAATTACTGACAAAAGGAGTTCTTAAGTGACTATTTTGAAGAAATGCAGTGATGTGAGCCAGAGAACTCAGGAAACATCTCCATTCCCAGGTAGCCAGAGCCCAAGCAAAGTGTGGGGCTCCTCCATCTTTAATAACTTCAAATGAAGAGATATGTCAGGGGTGGCTATTATTGCTCCAGAATCACATCATTCGCCACTTAGCTTGCCTGGTTTTTGAAGCAGCCAAGATTAATTTAAAGTCCGTTTTCAAGCACCAAATGGAGACCATAATCATAAGTTTGTTTGTCAAGCATATATAAGATAACAGGTAAAAGTATAAACGTAATTTGAATACATGAAGAGAGTAAGTAAAAAGGAATATTAGGACAGGGATGGTAGGCACGCTGGTGCACTTATGCAAACCTGGGCTCTTTTGATCCCCAGATCAGAAACGCTGCTTTGAAACTATATATTTTAAACAATGCCTGGAATGCAATACCTGATTCTGTGGTTACTTCCCCAAACCCCCAAAACTTTAACCGTCTACTGTTGACCTCACCCCATTCCTGAGGTCTGTAAGGGGCCTGCATAAGTGCACCAACGTGCCTTCCGTCCCTATCCTAATGTCCCCATTTTATTTGTATCCGTTTCATGCATTCATAATCATGTTTATACTTATATCTGTCATCTTATACACGCTTGACAAAATAAATAAATAAAAAATAAACTTTCCCCCCTTCCAAGCGACCCGTGGATTCTAGAGAAAGGAAGTAAAGCTCAGTCCTTTGCGGCCTTTTTTTAACACTCCCATTAAGACCAGGAGCTTGGGTTTTATCCTGCCCAGATCCCCCGCAACCCCATTTTAATAAAATAAAAGGGGCTTTCTTTGGCCAGCCCTCTTCCCCTCGCCCTTTTCCTCACAGGCGCAAAGGCTTCTCCGGCGCCATCACGACGGCGGCGCCTCGCAAAAGCACTTCCGGCCGCCTTCTCGCCCCCGTGCAACAGGCAAAATGCTCCGCCGGAAACGCGAAGGAGGCGGGGAGAGTCCGTCCCGTTCTGTTACATGCAGCGGCAGGAGAGGCGGCGACGTCGTGGTGGTGGTGGCGGCCGTGGTGGCAGCGGGGTGTGAGCGGCGGGAGGATGCCTGGAAGCGGCGGCGAGGTTCCGACCAGGAGCCGGAGACGGGGACCGGCGGTGTCAATAGCAGTGACGGCTGGCCTGTTGCTGTCGCTGCTGCTCTGGGTCTCGGTCCACAAGGTGGAGGAGGGACACCTGGCTGTCTACTACAGGTGAGTCCGGGCGACGGGATCCCTCTTGTGGCTCTAACTAACCTCTTATCCTGAGAAGCTGCCTTCCTTCCCCGGGCAGTTGATAGAAACCCCTGAGTAGAGAGCGTGGTTGCAGCCTGGCTCTGGCAATACAGGCAGTTCTCGACTTACGACCACAATTGAGCCCAAAATTTATGTTGCTGAGTGAGAAATGTGCTGAGTGAGTTGTGCCCCCTTTTTACGATTTTTCTTGCCATGTTTGCTAAATGAATCGCTTTAAATTAGTAACACAGTTGTTGTTCAGTGAATCTGGCTTCTCCACGTCTTTGCTTGTTGGAAGGTTGCAAAAGGGGATCATATGACTGCAACCTCATAAAAAATGAACCAGTGGTCAAGCATCCAAATGTAAATCACGTGATCACGGGGATGGAAAATAGTCATGGGTTACTTTTTTCAGTGCTGTTGTAACGTCAAACAGTCACTAAATGAACTCTTGCAAGTTGAGGACTATTTACTCAACCATCTGTCCTGATTTGAAACTTTCTTCTGAGTGAGCAAAAGCTTTAGTTCTCCGGGTGGTGTTGGGACTACAACTTCTGATACCAACCTGTGGTGTGGCTGTGGCTGTGGTGATTCAGAGGCTGGGTGTGTCCTGGTTTGCTTAATTGTACTTTTTAAGCAACTTCCATTGGTTGGGTTCACAGCCTTGTTGATCCATAGTTGACAAAACTTATGGTAACTTGGCATGATGCATGAACCCAAATGTAGTGTTGTGATCTCAAATACCTGGGCATGGTCCCAGATGGAAAAAAAAGTTGTCCTAGATAAGTATTTCCTAATCTTAACCGTTTTAAGGTGTGCGGACTTCAACTCCCAAAATAGGAAGTGTTCTGGGCGTTGAAGTTCACACACCTTAAAATGGCTAAGGTTGGGAAACTGTCTTAGAACAAACAGGGCTCCACCCAGCAACACTTCTCAGAAATAAAGGGCGGCTTGTCCTGTTTTGTTCCTGAAAAGGTGTGAAACAACATTGGCGCTCTCATCTCTTGATTTTGCTCTACTCCTGAAGAGGCCTAGAGCCAGACTAAGTTGGCTAAATGCACAAGGCAACTTGTAAATATTCTGTGCCTGTAAATTTGCTCCTTTATCTTCAGCCTATCTGCCAATAAACCAGGGGAATAGCTGGCGCGCTGGAAACCACAAAAGCAGCTGGCAATGGTGCACGTGCCCACAGAGAGGGCTCTGTGTGCCACCTCTGGCACGCGTGCCATAGGTTCGCCATCACGGGTATAGGGTCTTCTCCTTGAGCAGTGGTGTGGATTGGAAGACTTCCAAGGTTCCTTCCAACTCTGTTATTCTGTTCTGAACCACTGGAGTATGGTATTAGGAAAACGAGTTGGACAGATGAAATTAATGTTTGCTGTGGGTTTTGTTTTATAAGAACGTTGTCCTCTCTGACCTCAGTTCATGCTTATTTGCTTTCTTTTTGTATATAATTTATTATAGGGGAGGTGCACTGCTCTCTACCCTGAGCAGACCAGGCTATCACATCATGATCCCAATTCTCACAACTTACAGAACAGTACAGGTTTGTGTAACTGCCTTGGATGGGAAACAGCAGAGGGAGGGAAAACAGCTTGATGATAAAAGGACTGCCTTTGTCTTTCATACAGATAGCGTCAGGGCAGAATATAATTAATGTTTTGATACTTCCTTGTATCCTGTCAGTACTAAAAATCCACCTCAGGTTAATATGTTACTAGAAGTAGGTAATGGCTAATGTTGCAGTACAGATACTTATAAATAAGCTTATACCTCTCATTTGCATGCTTGATCTTGCTAATTGCTTGAAGATAAAAAAGAAGGATTGAAGAAAAGAAGGAAGAACAAAATAGCAATTTAGCAAGTTCCTTATTAGCAATTACCCTGTTTCCCTGGATTAAATGTTAGGTTGAAGGAACTTGTATAACATCTAAGAGGGAGGAGTGATATCTTGATTTATGATCAGTTACTATGAAGTTACAACTGACCCAAAGAAAGGGACTCATGACCCTGATTCAAAGTTCTGACAGGAGTTTGGCAACACAGCCTCATTTATGGCCTTATGCAGTGTCCTGCAGTCACATGACCATGTTTTGCAATGGTTTTGCTAAAAAAATCTGACTGCCGGTTTTCAGCAAAATCACAGCCTTAGTGAACCATTGGTTCATGTAAGGACTGGGGCAATAGTTTTACAACCACTGTGTTTGCTTTATGACTGCCACATTTGCTTAACTTAGGATCCCCAGAAAAAGTTCCTAAAATTGAGTTGGTCACATGATGACTGTTTTACAACCTTTTCTGCCCCAGCTACGGACCCCAAAGAACACAGCACACACAAAGTCTGTACAAAACTTAAATTTACTAAAATAACTCAGTCTTTTCCAAACAAAGGCTGTTAATAAACTTTCTTAACAGCCTACAAGAAATCAAAGATAAAGTAATCACAATCCTACTAAGGTTGGCAGAAAGCCCAGAAGCAATTTGCAGAGAATCCTTAAGAGCCTTGGTGGCGCAGCAGACTAAAGTGTTGTTAAATAGCACCAGCTGCCTGCAATTACTGTAAGTTCAAATCTCACCAGGCTCAAGGTTGACTCAGCCTTCCATCCTTTCGAGGTAGGTAAAATGAGGATCCAGATTGTGGGGGCAATAAACTGACTGTGTATAAAAAAGAACACCGCTTGGGGGGGATGGGCGAAATCCCTATTAAGCAGGTATATACAAAAGTATGAAGGCTATTGCTTAACGCATTGTAAGCCGCCCTGAGGCTCCGGAGAAGGGCAGCATATAAATCGAACCAATACATAAATAAATAAATTCAGACGCGAAGTAAAGTGAACTAAAGTTGTTCCCTACAAATTGCTTCAGTCGGTGTTCCTCCTTAAATAGGCTAAGGGAATGGCCAATTAGCCCCAAGCCTTACTCTTGAGGAGACCTCCTCCTGAGGAGCCACTCCTGCCTTTTGGCAGCTCTGCGCGCCCGTGCATTGAGAAGAGGCTCCTCCTCTTCGTCCTCTTCACTTAAAGGAGCTTCTGGAGGTTCTGAAGGCCCTGGCTGAATCCCTGCCTCTGGCACCACATCTTCTCCAGCCTCCTCATTGTCTGACTCGAGTGCCAGCTGCACAGGCTGCTGGTGCAGCACCACACCAGCTTCCTCGCTGTCAGAATCAGCTACAATCCGCACAAGCTGCTGACGGGCCACAACACAACCGTCACAACATATAGGAGTAATGGGTAGGCTCCATTGTGGATGATTACCTATAGGAAGGTTGTAATTATCTGGTGAAAAGGACAGAAGTCATTAATTTTTAAACTTTAAATTCCTGTCCTGTCCTGTCCTTTCCTGTCTCTTATTCTATGGGAAAAAAATATTAATGCAATTTAAAAATAATAATAATAATTTTTTTTAAATTGCATCATCCCAGTTTCTTGATCTCAATGTCATGCCAAAAATGAACTGCAATTCCTCCTGGATGTTGGAGCACTTGTAACTCTGTGGGACTGAATTTTTTGAAGTTGTTTCTCAGAAAAAGAGCAGAATGTTCCTGAAATTTAGTTTGTTTCCAAAATGTCAATAATTGTTAGATTAGTAAATGTTACATTCTGCAATGTCTTTGCTGATCAATTTTGTTTTATTTTTTTTCCAGACAACATTGCAGACAGATGAAGTGAAAAATGTTCCATGTGGGACAAGGTATGTGGTTGTTTTGTGGTTTGTATTGTGTTTCTGGTCTAGTTGAGAAATACACCATTAAGATGTGTAGTAGAATGGTTGAGTCACAGGGTGGAAGAGTAGAAGGTGTTAAATCTTCTTTTTTGGTAAAAATGGAAGAAAGGGAAGTAATTTTTATAATGCAGCCTTCTTACTGAACAGTTCTGAGGGATTAGAGGTTTCAGCCTTCCTTCTGAAGACCAATCTCGCAAAGATAAACAAAAACTCTGCAAAAGTTGGAGGACCATAGTTTATAATCCTGGAGGAACATAGTTTATAATCCTGATTTTGTGAACTGAGTGTATTGTTTCCAAAGACGTTGCCAGAAAAGCACACAGTGGATAGTTTTTAACCATGCAAATATGTATATGCAATGAAGGAAGAGCTTTCTCCTTATCTTCTTGCAGTGGTGGTGTCATGATCTATATTGACCGAATTGAGGTGATGAATATGCTGGCACCATATGCAGGTATTTTCCTTTTTCCTTTAACAGAAAACAAACGCTTAGAGGAAAGAGAACTCTTGGGGTGCTTCAAGTTTGGGAAGGGAGCTTCAAAGCAAGATCAGTGGTGGGAAGATAGAAGGTAGGCAAGTACATGTAGAAACAGGAGCAGAAGCTATGCAGTTTATTGCTCCTAAAAGGAGGATACGTTCAACTATAGTTTGTCTAGCTTCGGTGCTATCTCAAAATAAATGACTTTCCAAACTGCCAATCTTTAAGGGAATTTTCTCTTTATTCGAGTACGGCAACCGGATCATGACTCTGCGCGGTCAGTACTGACCTTTGCCCCCCAATCCCTCCCTTTCCGATCCCCAATTCTCTGCTTCTCATTGGCTGTCTTCCAAGTCACTCTCCTGATTTCTTTTCCTGTCAGTTCACAGGAATGTTCCCCCTCCCCTCTTCATCTCCAAGGAGATCGAAACTTCAAAGGGATTTTAGCAGGCAAAAGTTCAAACTTCATCCTCCCTTTTCTGTGTCAGCCTTTTCTATGTCTGAGACGCTGACATAGTTGGCTTGTTATTGTTTGATATGACAGTTGATTCATAAAGATTGCTGGATTGCTGGAGGGCACCAGATTGGATTCAGGCATTTTACTGTCATATATTGTGTGTTTGTGGGAATTGCAGGAGCATTTTGATGGCAGTGTACAGAGGGAGATGTGTTGAGAGAGGGAATGGGCCATTTCTAAGAAAGAGAGGTTTTGTTTCTTACACTGAGCTCCCTTTCCCCACATCTGCATCCTAGTTCTGAGCCCAAATTTCAGATCACCAGATCCTTAGTGTCTCTGGGCTTTGGTTATTTCTACTTAATGTCAGGCTGGCCTATAATAAATCCTTCCTCATCCATGAGAGAGTCATTGTAGTGGCAATTACCAAATCTGATTGGACACAGTGTTGTTCCTTACTTGGAAATATACAGTTGGGTGCAGTATAAGGGAGCAGGTGAGATTGCTGCTGGAACACCAGACTCTCTTGCTGCCTAGCAGGTTCTTTGCCTGAACTGCTTAATGTCATTGCCAGGATGGTGATTAAATTTTCCCAGACTGATAGTTCTGGAGAATTTCGACCTAAATTGGCTTGGAAGTTTGTGGCCTGTCCTAGATGATTGAGGACCTGACTCACAATGTTACATATTGGATCTGTTTTTTGTCTTGGAGCAGAGGTGACATGATCTGAAGTGGGTTTGCATTTGTTCCTTGTCATAGCTAAACCACTCTCTGGTGCAGCTATCCCCCCCCTCTCTTTCTGCAGATGGGATTATCAAATTGCACTGCCCCCAGTGCCTGGTGTTGCCTGTTTTCCAAAGGGCATTTGAGGAATTCCTTGAGTCTCTAGTAGTTGGATTTTAATTGCTTTCTGAAATGAAGGTACATCAGTGCCTTGCACAGAATGGCACTTGAGTGATTTTATACTCTTCCTTGGTTTTCTGAGGAGGTAAAGCATCAGAACAGATATTTAGAGTGCTAAAATGGGAGAATGAAGAATGAGTCCTACCAAATACATGTGCAAGCTTAGGTCTATATCGCAAAAAATAAAGGCATGGATATTTTTCTGGAGAATCCTACCCATCAACATTTTTTAAGGGAACCCAAACTCTTGTGAGATTTGAGAGGTAGGAAGAATATCTCAAAGGTCATTGTGAGGAGTCTTTTGTGGCTCAAGATGTGGTTAGCCAAGGAACCATTTTGGTGGATTGGATTCTGAATGACTTGGTTCACTCCAGGTCTTGGCTTCCTAATTTTGTGGAATCTAGGTGACACCCTGAGATTATATGCCCCTCATCTCATTGCCCTTCTGTAAAATCCGGCTCTCTCAACAGGTCCCAGGGTAGAGTAGGAGGAGCTACTCCCTGATGGTAATTTTTGGAATAAAATGCAATCCTCCTTGACATGTGCCATATGTTCTTTCACCGGTTGCCTTTTTCTAATTTTAGTTGTTATTTTGACTTGGTGTTGTAATTGTGTTGTATCAGCGGCATAGAATCGCTTTGTGATTGAGGGGGGGGGTCACATCATTGATAAGCAAATTGGTATTCCCTTTCCTAGTTTATGACGTTGTGAGGAATTATACTGCCGATTATGACAAGGCGCTCATCTTCAATAAGATCCATCATGAACTCAACCAGTTTTGCAGCGTCCATACCCTGCAGGAGGTGTACATTGAGCTCTTTGGTAAGTCTCACTGTGTTTTGGCTCCACTCTTTCCCACAGAGAGTCTTTGACATTTGGGACACATTGTTTCCCAGCAATCCTCATTATTGGTGATTTCATTACCTGCAGTTTCACATATTTTGTGATTGGTAAATACAGACCAGACCTTGCTATCCATGGTAAGAGGTTTTGCATAGACACAGAGTTCTATTGGAGGATGGCTTTTGGAATGCTTTTGTCTATTTTATGTATTTCACAATGGAGGATGGGCTTTTCCACACGTAGGTAGTCCTTGACCTATGATAGCAGTTACGGTAGGACTGGAATTTCCATTGCTAAGCAAAGCAGTTGTAAATTAATTAATTAGTTAATTAATTTGGGACTACTCAAATGTCATGGGGCTACTCTAGGCGGCTAACAACAACAACAAGTCTTAAGCAAAAAATGCTTTAGTCGTGGCAATCTTGATCGTCGTCATTAACTGAATCCCATGATTATTAAGCAAAGCAACTTTCTGTCAGCTTCCCACAACCAGTGGGGAAGTGGGGAGAAAGTTATAAGTTCCAGGCCGGTAGGCAGGTAAGTGGCTGCTGCTGGATAGGAGAGAGAAAGAGGGATGCATGGGGAGGGTTGGGAAGGCCATGAGGGTGTGTGTGAGATACATGGCATAGGTCAAGGAGGGCTTGCGAGGATGTGACCAGTGGCCAGTGCAACCTGAGTGTAGAGAGGTGTGTGTGCAGCTAGGGGGGAGACTGACCCCAGCAAGTTGTCATTAAACCTATGTAAAACATGTTTTGTGGAAGGTTTTGTTATTTACAATTTTATTATTATAGTATAAGAGAAGGTTTTATCTCCAGCCTGCTGTATAGTGCTCCTTCCTTAGATATTTTTGGTAATATTTATTATTTTAATGTTTTGTATTCCCATTTTTAGCTTGATCCAAGCCACTTAGAGTTGCTTGATGGAGAGATGGGTGACATATTAATTTAGTAAATAAAATATCTGCAGTGGTTAGCCTGGAATGGAACCACCTAGATATGCCCTACATTCTTCTTTCATGTACCTTGGCTAAAAGAGTAGTAGCTATTTAATCCCAGTCCCTTCTCTAGCTGAATAGATGGCATTGCCATGGGTAGTGCTGACAGAAATTTTTTTTGAGCTCTGGCATAAGTGTCTCTGTTTGGTTAATTTACCAAATTTACTTATTAGTTTGTGTTTTCTTGTACCAGACCAGATCGATGAAAACCTGAAGCTGGCACTACAACAAGATCTGAATACCATGGCACCAGGCCTTACCATCCAGGTACTACCTATCACTTGCCTGTTGTATAGCTGTGTGGGTGATGGAAAGAGATTGAAACAGAACACTGCCCGGGAAGGTCGCAAATGGTGATCATGTGACCATGAGATGCGGCAACCATTGTAAATTTGTGACGATTGTCAAGCGCTCAAATTAGGATGTTGTAAGCGCAAGAACTTGTTGTAGGTAACTTTTCAGTGCTGTTATAACTTTGAACGGCCGCTAAATGAATGGTCATAAGTCGCATGGCTGACTGGGGGAATCCTGAGAGGTGACGTTCATCCATCTTAAAGCTGCCGAGTTTGAGAAACACTGGTATAGAACTTGTGCTTGGGAAATGCTACATGGATATTGTTTAATCAAGACCATTTGATTGTTTCTGCACAGGCAGTGCGTGTGACAAAGCCCAAAATCCCTGAAGCAATCAGAAGAAATTTTGAACTCGTGTGAGTATAAGAACACCCTCCTGGATCAGATCAGAGGCACGTCCAGCATTCTGCTTCTGCTAGATGCCTCTGGGGTATTTATAAAGCAGGATGTGGATGTAATAGCATAATAGTCTCCATCTCTGGCTTCCGAGTCTTCATCTGAATTTCTCATGAGTTAAGCTGAGACTTTCGTAAAGCTCTATTCTTGTGCTGATGATAGAGATAACTTCATAGAGATGACCTTCCAGGTAGGCAGTTCAAGAAGCCGATTCGTTTTCTGCTTTGCAGGGAAGCAGAGAAGACTAAACTCTTGATAGCTACGCAGAAGCAGAAAGTGGTGGAAAAGGAGGCTGAAACGGAAAGGAGGAAGGCAGTCATAGGTAATGAGCTTTGCTCAACCGTTCCCCCCCCCCCCCCATCTCACTTGACTGCCTCTGGGCTAAGTATTCTCTTTTGGTTGAAGAAAATCTGAGTGTGGATACTGACAAGCATAATTGTTGAACCATGGATCTTCTGTCTGGCAGGTATTGAAAATAGTAGCTAAATGGCCAGAATTGTGGCATAATTTTGAGGAGCCTTCAATGTGTGCCAATAGCCCTCCATCCCTACCTTGTGTGCCGCAATACTCCAAATGAAAAATGTTGAGGTTGAACTATTTTGGCCATTGGTTAGTTTATGCATGTTTGTGTACCTTTGCTGTAATGGAGTCTTTAAGAGAAGGAAAGTAAGTTAAGAGCAAGGATGTGCCATACATTACTCTCCCGGACCTGTAGGGATTTAACTGTGTGCGCGCCAGACCACAAATCGTTTCTTGTGAGCTTCAGGAAAGTTGAATGAACTTGGGGCATTGGCACACTTGACTGTTGTCACAGCCTGTGCAGTTCTTGTGCTTAACTGTGAATGCTTTTCAATTGCAGAAGCAGAGAAAATTGCTGAAGTGGCAAAGATACAGATCCAACAGAAGGTCATGGAGACGTTGACAGAGAAACGAATTTCTGAGCTTGAAGGTAACTATGTGCTCCGCTCTATATCTCTTGCCAATCTCTAGACAATGATCCACAGTGTCTGGGAACTAGGATGGGAGGATGGTTGTCTTGATTTCCAAAGATTGGTTCAAGCTGCTTAGAAGGCTTTGTAGGAATGATTAATGTTGTTTACTGGTTCCTTTGTGGAAATATTAGTTCTTCTATTCTCTCCCTGATCTTTCTTTTCCCCATTGCCGGGTTTTGGAACTGGAATACGACTTAATGGAATCTCCTCCTGTCATTACATTCCACACACCCCGTCCCATAACTTCAGCCTTCCTCAAAAGTCTTCCCTGGTTGTTGTTTTTTGTCTTCTATTCTGAATTCGTTCTTGGAGGCCAAAAAGAAACATGCTTAGACTTCATGTATTTCACAGTGGGCTATATTGCAGAGGTTTAGAAAGGTTTATTTTGGTAACTTGAAGAAACAGACAGGTGACTTGATGGCTTAAAACTGGCTAAAAGAGGTTTTGCTGCTGCCTTCTTAGATGCTGCTTATTTAGCAAGACAGAAAGCAAAGGCTGATGCAGAATACTACACTGCCCAAAAAGCAGCTGACTCAAATAAGGTGAGTTAAGTTTCCCTTGCTTACAGTCAGCAATCTGACCAAAGTTTAGGGGGAATGAGACACATATAAGCAATGCCTACTTTTTTGGGGAAGAAAATAAGTACAGCTGTAAAAACATTCCCTACTAGTGGCCTGCTGCGTTTGCACTTACTCTATTTTTCGGAGTATAAAACGCACCGGAGTATAAGACGCACCTTAGTTTTTGGGGAGGAAAATAAGAAAAAAAGCTGATTGGCAGGTGGACCGGCCTCCTGGAATACCCCCAATCAGCTGTTCCCAGAGGTGAATTTTAGCAACAGGCTCCTTGGTTGTGAGGTCTGTGCCTTGCTTTTTTTTCTGCCTCTGAAAGCCTCCGAAACAGCTTTGGAAAAAAAGCCTCTGAAGCTCTGTTTGGGGGCTTCTTTTCTAAAGCTTCATTTCTGATGCTTTTTTCAGCCTCTGAAACCTCCGTTTTAGAAGCTGGGTGGGGTTACATTCGGAGTATAAGATGCACCCAGATTTTCACCCTCTTTTTTGGGGGAAAAAGGTGTCTTATACTCTGAAAAATACGGTAATTCTTGTAATGTGAATACCTTCCTTGGTGTATTTATTATTTTTTTTCTCCTTGACAGCTGAAACTCACACCAGCCTACCTGGAGCTGATGAAATACCAAGCAATCGCTACTAACAGCAAGCTCTACTTTGGCAGTAGCCTGCCCTCTCACTTGTTTCTAGGTTCCTGGGCGTTTGAACACATGATTGCAAGGACTTCTAAAGGAGGCCACCACCTCAGGGCTCAAGAAACTGCTACTTGACGCTCATGCCATCTAGCCTCCTTGATCTGAACATTAATCAACTGCTCAAAATCAGGGCAGTTATTGTTCTCAAACTGCCTTATTGATAAACAGAGGAAAGGAATTAGTGGGTTTTGTTTTTTGTTTTTGTTTGCAGTATAAACGGTTCTACACTGAGTTTGTGTCATTCTCCAGAGCCTGCTAGGAAGAGAATCCAAAGGCTTTTTTTGGCTGTTCCACACCAGAAGCTGGCTCCTGGGGATTTCAAGAACTAAAGTAATCCAAGCGCTAACGTTTACCATTAGAAAAGAGTTGGCAATTAAAATAATTGAACCTGGCTATTTCACTCTTATGGGGAAGCACTTGTTCCTACGTTGAAAGCAATTGTAACATAGGGGCTCCGATGTACTAGATCTTAATAATCTCAATCATACATTTTACTACTGGAATTTGGAAGTTGATGCTATTAACCAAGAGCTCAATAAGATAAACGTATGACTCCAGGGGAGTTGCGTACCCCAATTATTTTTGGTCCCACTTGTTGGTAAGATAAAAACTATTGAGACTACTTCTTAGGCTCTGGCTCCAATTCAATTGTGTTCTTGCTGTGAAAACTTTGCTTTGGAATTTACAAATGTGTCTGAAGAAGATGCATCTCATGACTGGAAAGTATCATTTCAGACTTTTTTTTTTTAAAGGCTTGTATTTCAAATGGTATTTGGAATAGGGAAAATAAAGCTATTTTCATAACCTTTTCTAAGAATGTGTATGGTGGATTCAGGTTGTTTATCCTATGTTATCACGGACAAGTTGTTGCTAAAAAAAAAACCTCAGAAAACAAGTCACTTTGCTAAAATGGGCTAGTGTTTATTGGGAGATGTAGGATGAAACAGCAACTCGATAACGGTAGAATATTTTGTCCTCCGATCTTAATTGTTTAAAAAGAAAACTAAAATAGAAATCCCTTTAAAATTCAGAAACCAAGACTTTATTAAAATCTATAATGAATAATGATGTGACATCAAGTTCATGTTGACTTTTAGTGAATACTCAGATCGACATTCTTAAGGATGATTTATCCCCAACTTTTTCTGTCTTCAGTGCTTCCATCAGTGCATCCAAATACATCACTATAATTGAAGTCATACACCTTGCTGCTAATTTTTATTTTTCCTTCCATTATTCCCAAAATTATAGACTGCAAGACAGGGCTGTGTCCAACAAATAATTTCAACCTTGTACTGTATTTGTGCCTTGGGTAAAAACTTCAGATCGATTTGTTCTGTGGTTCATCTATCTGGTTTCTTGACTATTCATGGCATTGTTAGGCTCTTGTCCAACACCAAAGTTCAAAAGTGTCAATACTTTTTCTGTGCTGCTTCTTCAAACTCCCAACTTTAGTTTCTATAAAGTGTTATAGGGAAGACTACTGCATGCACAATTGTGATCTGTATGGGAACAAGCACATCACAGCCTCTGAGTATCTTCTCCCGGGCTTTCACTGTTACCAAGTGCTAGTCTATGGAATGTTTTTTTGCTGCCGTTTCCTTTAATGTTGCCACAGTAGTAGATCCAAAAAGGCAGAAGCAATCCACTTCAGTATCTTGTTAATTCTGAAGCTCATTACTTTCCTTGCTGTCATTAGTTAGGTCATCTTTATATTTGATCTTAATCCGTTCCCCACACACACACCCCCCATTTTACTGCTTGACTCTGAGCTTACAGATCATGGATGTTTTTATTTATCTGATTAATATCAGCATAATGCAAGTTCTTTCAGTTTTAAAATTATGCACATTTTTCCAACCATGCTTCAGTGTCTTGATTCATATTCTAGACGTAGATTGGATAAATAGGAGAGAGTAAACAGCCACCCTTAATCCTTTCCTGCTCTGGCGTCAGTCAGTTTCAAAAGTTCCCTCCAAATTGTCATTTCTGTGTAGTCTGTATATACAGCAGTGGCCAAAATTGTGGAAACAGTTTGGGGAAAATGTATTTTTGAGGTTTAATGGCTAATAACCACCTTTTTTTGGAGTAGTGCCATAAAATTATATATCAATGGAAAGATAATTTAATCAAGAATGTAATGCAATAACTTTTATGAAGGATTTGCTATTAGAATAGCAGTTACAGTATAAAGAAGAAAAGTGAAACATAGAAAAAATTGAGATATACAGAAATTATCACCATAGAAAAAATGAGATATACAAAAATTATCACGTCAGTTAATACTTAGTTGGGTAACCTTTAGCATGAATTACAGCCTTACAACGTCTTCCCATGGAGTGAACCAAGTCTTTTACTTCTGCAGCTGTTATAATGTGAAACCAAGATTGAATGATCACTTCTATTAACTGGGTTTTATTGCTAGGTCACTTCTGACTAACAAGTTTCTTTAGTTGGCTCCATAGATTTTCAGTTGGGTTAAATTCTGGGCTATTCCCAGGCCATTCCTGCAGTGGAATATAATTATCTTGAAACTCCCAAAAAAGTGGTGTTATTAGCCATCAAACCAAAATGTTTCCACAATTTTGGCCACTACTGTGTTTTGTCAAAGATAGTCTGGGATTTCCATTTTCATCAGGACATTGGACAGATTCACACTATTGAAAGCCTTTCTATAAACCATGAAGCTGATATTGATTTATTTTGGTATTCTTTGGTTTTCTTAATTATTCAACATGCACCAGCAATTATGTATCTTATCCTTTTTTTCAAAACCAGTTTGTCTGGCATTTTCCTTTACATGTAGAGTTTTAATCTGGATTGGTAATCCTAAACATTTTGCTTATATACAGTGTGGATTTGATTTATATCAAGTCAATTTAAATTACGGTTTAAATCAGTAGTAAAAAGGCTTGATTTAAATCAACTTGATTTAAATCGTAATTTTTAAAGCGCAACTGTCATCTGTCCCGCGGCTGCTCCTCTGACCTGCTGTTGACTCACCGACAGTCCCAATATTGCAGAATATACAGCTTCATGCTACATAATTAAACTCCATTTCATGCTGAATAAACTATATTAATGTATCTTAAATAGAAAACTATCTTTATTTACTCCAAAAGCATTTTATTAAAATAAATTTGATAGAAATAAAAAAAAATCCAATTTAAATTTTAAAAAATCAATTTTTATCCACCCTGCTTGTATATGAGATCTTTCATGATAGTTTGCCTATTCTGTTAAGTTTTTGTTTGGTGTTGCTATGTGTAGTGCACTCTTACAAATTATTGGCCCTGCTGTCATTCCCCAGATTTTCTGGGATTGTTTGCTTAGAACTTTTACAATTCTTTTATTGTTTGCCATATTTCTGTAGTTCTATCTGTTCTTTTAGCCTTGACTGGAGCACTGATCTGATTTCATCTTCTAATACTAGAGTTTGTTGAAAGTATGGAGTTTCCTGAAAGTATGGAATGTGTTCTAAGGTGTCTTGGATAATGACATTTCTACGGTACAAAGTTTCAGTAATTTCTTCCATCTTTGTTTCATTTTCTTGGAATCAGTTACTACCTGTCCATAGAATATCAATTCAAGGTTGCAACATTCTAAATTCAGAGATCTTTTAGAACTCTACATGTCTCCTGCTTCTACAGATATTGTTGCAATACTATTTATTGTGTCTTCCAAAAGGTCTTTGAAATTGTTACGTTCATTTTGGAGATCTTCCCTCCTGAATCTTTCTTGGCTTTGGCTCTCTTGATTTCCTTATCTGTTCTGACATCCAGTTTGCTTTCTTTTGTGTTCCTTTATTTTTGGCAGTCTTTTTTCAAACTCAACCTTTACAACTTGATTCCCCACACCCCCGAAGAATTCCTCTGATATCTGTCAATGTGAAATTCAGGACTTCAAAATGATTTTGTTTCATAGTGGCATTTCAAATGTGAAAGTGCCACTTTTTAGTAGCATTAGTGGCCATGTTCCACTAATAGTTCCCAATGTGCCTAATAGATCTAAATTCCTGCTTCTTCTGCTACTATTCCCAATGCACAGAATTCCCTCATTTTATCAGACTCTTGTTCAATGATTTTCCCATGCATGTGCACATAGGTTTATACAAATCAGACACCAGATGAAATCAATTACATTTAATGAAGCTTTATCTGAATGGAGTGTACACAACAGAAGATAGTTAAGCTCTCAGCAAAAGTGTAAATACTAAAATGAGTTGGCTAGTAGCAGTGAACAGTGTCCATGAAAGTTCATGTAATATTACTCATTCTACTCCAAATTGTTAATATCTGATCAAAATAGGTGGCATTATCTTATTTCTTGACTGAATTGAGCAGTCACTGACACAATTAGTTAGCCAGGACTTAAACATTAACATATAAAAGTACATTTTTAAAGATCAAAGATGCCACTTAGAAACACTAGTTTTCACCTATAATACAGAAAATTTAGAATTTAAATGCTTGGATTTAAAAATATAGAAGCATTCAGAGTCACATTCCTTTATAAACAGTATTGTTGCTAGAGTTTGTATTTTATATTTCCACTGCTGCTCCTCAACTTTTGTGCGACATAAGTGTTGATGAAACCATGACATTCTCGAAGCAGTCCCTAACTCTTCCCACTTTTCTCTGGGAAAAATGACTTTCATACAAACCAGGCCTTTCACTGAGTGGAGGCAGCAACTTTGGGAGGAGCAGCCACTTGCAAAACAGTCTTCTGACTCCTTTCTGCAGACATGTGCTCCAATCGTTCTGTGTAGAAGCCGTTGAAGTCCAGTCTAGAAAAGAAAGGGTAGGGTTTATGTGGGTGGACCATGGAAGAACTGAAATAAGAGCTGTGCTAGACCAAAAGTCCATCTAGCCCAGCTTCTACTTCCCCACTGCCACATCAGATTAGGAGAGGTTGCAAATAGGATGTGAAAAGCAAAAGCTTCTCCAACAAACAGGAACGGAAAGCCATACTGAGTCGGATCCTGAAGTGAGTATACACACACTACCAGCATAGCCATTGATAACTAGCTCTCTCTATAGAGTTTTATACACTCAATAGAGATTCCTGAGGAAGAGGAATATATTTTTTTTTCTGGGAGAAAAATCTCTGCTTACCTGTAGATGATATTGATCATGCTGTGCTCACAGTCATTGGTACTGTAAATGCTCAGTTTGTCCAGGAGGTCCAGCAGATGTGCAGAGAAATTGCTGTCAAACTTGTTTATTGTTGCCTCAAAGCCAGAACTTACATGCAAAGAATCTGCCTGCTCTGCTAAAAACTGAAAAAAGCAAAATACAGGAAATTAGCATAATTTCTAACCCAAAGACTGCAACTGAAAGGGGAAGACTCCTGCAATCCTACATTGTTTCATGTACATTTCATAGCAAATTGATTTCTTAGAACATCAAAGGACATAAATGCGCCAAAAGACTAGAAATTGCAAACTCTACTGAGAAAAACGATTTGTATGATTGTACAGCATTAAGAGAAAAGGTTCTGCGCTTTCCCACATGGTATTTTTTCAAATACCATTTAGCCATAAACTATAGTCCGTTAACTTAATAGGTTCATTTCGCAGTGGAACTATTAATTAGTGGAACGGCTTGCCTCCAGAAATTATGGATGCTTCAACATTGGAGGTTTTTAAGAAGAGATTGGATAACCATTTATCTGAAATGGTATAGGGCAGTGATGGCTAACCTTTTGGCTGTCGAGTGCCAAAAGGGGGGAGAGCACAGGGGGGTCGTGCGCATGCGTGCCCACATCCATAATTCAATGCCTCCCCCATGCCCTTCCCCTTCCCCCACGCATGCACGC